TCAAATCAGATGCCCGTGCACGAGCATCACTGAAGAGTTCCCGAATTGGCCTGGGCATCTTCCGAATCAGCGCCTTCAAGTTCGATGGGAGATGTCGAAGAGGAGGGCCTGATTGACAGCACGGTGAACATACCCAGCAAAAACAAATAATACTCATTAGATTCGGAAGGAGGGGTTGACCTTGCTCCTGGATTGATAGTAGTAGCCTCAATAGGGGCGTTTAGTATAGTATGCTTACCCTGCTTAGGCTCTAACCGATGCAGACCTAAAAGCAGTCATCACCATGTATGCTTAATACATCACCATTCGTCTTCTTACATGGTATTATGAATTCTTTATGCTCTGGAGCGGGTGCTTTATCTGTCTTCATCACACCAGATGCTGACATGCTAACAAGACGAGTCCCTGACAATATACCACATACAGTGAGGCCCTCGACCACGGAACATATTACTCTGCTCTGTCGTTGGTACAGGCTTATGCTTCGGATGCTTAGGAGTATTCTTAGGCCTTGCCTTGATAGAGAACGAGAGCTTCATCTTAACACGAGTAAGATACTATACAGAAGACTGCAGTAAGGGGTACTGAGACAATCCACTCAAGTAACCAATATTCTAAGAGACTGGAGAGAACACCTCATCATGGCTGACTAGGAAACGTCATAATTGTGGTATACACTATAGATGATCTAGAGTTCACCACACTCCGATACCGTAATTGGTAACTTCGGACGACTGTTTTCCCCAACCTGAGAACGATACATCGTAGAACCGCATGAAATAGTTAGAATAGGGAATGCTTGATACTACGATCTCTATCACCTGTGCATTCTCAATCTTCCTTACAGTCATCATGCTCTGTTGATCCAATACTTTCCCGAATACCACATGCTTACTGTCTAACCAGTCACATCTGAAGTAAGACACTTGATCCATAGAGTTAGGCAGTGAACGGCGATGGTGTGTGTTTGCCTTACTTATTGCAGGTTATGAAGAACTGGCAACCGTTAGTATTGGGACCAGAGTTCGCCATCGATAGCAAGCCTGAATGTGGATGAGAGTTTTGAACTAATACAGAGGAGCCCTTGCAGTATACATAATACATCTACATGATATTACCGGGGGAATCATGAGCAAGCTTAAAGTTCTCATCAGGGAACTTTTCACCATATATACTCAAACTTCCAGTCCCATCTCCTTTAACGAAGTCTCCTCCTTGGATCATGAAATCTCGTATGACTCTGTGGAACGTTGACCCCTTGTATCCGATAGGTACTCCATTCAGTTTGAATTCCCCATTGCATAGTTGACGAAAGTTTTCGACAGTCTTAGGAGCAACATCCTTATATAACTCCATCCTGATACGGCCTATCGCCGAGCCTCCAACCGAAACGTCCATGAACACTACCGGGTTCTCAGGGTTCCGAACCGGCCTGCTCGAAACACCAAATTCATACAACTAACCACCGAGCGGATCCACCAGACGGATGATGTAGTTCCCAACCCTCCCCTCACTACCGATGCATCGGGATGGCAGGTTGTAACCCTGCGTTGGAGGATTTCATGCCTGACATGACAGGTAACTTTTAAAGCCTTAGCAAAAATAACGGTGACGTGAAGTTGAGCTGAATAGGGCGGAAGAAATGCCGACCCCAGGGATCGAACCTGAGATATGTTTTGCTCGATCCCTTTCACATAGAAACGTGAAAAAAATGTCCCTGCAGATGTTTGTGTGCATTGGCTTATCACTCTTACATTGCGCTCTCTCTGCATTCCTCTATAGAATATTTGAGCTCATTATTAGTTCTTCACTGGCTCATGTCCGATGACGGGTCTACCGCCTTTCCTGTCTGCATCACAGTCTAGCAGCGCACCCAGACGTGAGGCATCTCGATGGTCCACAGGTTGTTGGGGACAAGAAGAGTGGGGATGGGCTGCTTCTCCTCCTGCTCAATGGGGGAGTAATTGGGGTGATGGATGGTATGGCGGTGGGGAATGGAATGTCTCTGGGAAGGGGGGCTCGAGTAATGACTGGTGGGTGAATCAAGGATACCCTCCTCCTCCCGATTGGGGTAAGGGATACCCCATTCGTGGCAAGGGATCATGGGGGTCTGCGCTCAACTACAATGATATCAAGGTAAAGGCGTTAAGGGCGAGAGTGGTCACAGATTGGGTTGTGATGGGTCCGGGCAATGGGGCCATCCACCAGCCAAGAAAGGGAGGTGGTCGTCAGACGAACAATATAAGAGCGAAATCTATTGCAACCCATGTGGAAAGTAAGTTATCTGGGAGGGCAACATCATATCATGCAAATGGGATAAGAGGTTAGCTGTTCCACGTCTATTCACTGCCGATGCTCTCGATGAGCATGTCCTCACCTTTCACGTCACCTGTCCTCATCCTGGTTGTGATTACAGTGCGAGGCCTGATCTTGTAATGGGCTGGGATAAGCTACAAGGCTGTCGTATTGTACTCGAATCTGCATTGGTTGGTCCTCTTAGGTTGCCGCGCATAAACTGTCCCATTGCCTGATCACAACTGCTGAAGGTAATAATACCTTCAATCTCGATTGTTTCTGATGCTGTTGAAGCACAGGTAAATCGGAATCTCTGACTGCGTCACAAGCCGAGACTGATGCGTGGCTTGCACGGCGGAAGAAGAACTTCCCTTCGAGAGGTGCTACTTCGAAGTTATATCCCTTCATGCAATAATACCTTTCATCCTATCTAGCTCGAAACGATGCCCCGAAAGAAGCGTTTAATGTGAGCGAGATGTGCACATTAGAGAAAGCTATACGGGCGTCCATGCGGGAGAATAGGGAACGGAAAAAGAGAGAACGAGCTGAGGTACTTATGGGTGGCTATCAAACATATCTGCACGCATGTGTTCCCTTTTTCTCGACCGTCTAGTACACCTGATCGATGAAGTACCTCAGCACACGTTGAATGCTGAGCTGGACTCTCCTCCCCTCATCGTGAAGCCAAATTTGCAGAGCGACGAATATGTACGCATTTTGCCAAGTTTGGGAGATGCAAGTATGAGGACTCCTGCCATTTCGAGCACATTCAGCCGAAGAAAGGGATATGCCGCTTCTTCCAGGAGAGAGGTTATTGTCGTCATGGAGACAACTGCAAGTAACTCACTAAGGAACATCACCTTAAAGTCATCTCCTCATCTGCCAATCTCAAAGCGGCTATACTCTGATGCTCAAGGCATGTATCCTCACAAGGTTCAATCACGTTAAACAACAAGAGCAGCCTAAGGAGAGTATGCAGGAACAGCTCATACGACGACTAATGCGGGATGATATAGATAGATATAATGCTGCAGTTCTACAGTGCCTGAGGTAGTCATCCGTACTCTAGTCACAACTTCTTACCATATGGTATTATCCAGATTCTTCGTGACTGAAAATTTATTCGAGGAGAAAGCGGATGCTCTGACTCTTGGTGACGCTGAGTCGGATAACGACTCGCGACGCGGCGATTCTGATGACGATGAGTACTCCTCTGAGGATGGTACATGATTGGAACTTTACCACCACCTCTCTACATCTTATCCAGTCATCTTATTCCGCTGACTTCACCATCTCTACGTGAATATTACAGCTCCGCGCCGGCTATGAGTTTATATTTTCGCGTACCTTCAGCGGTATCCTAGCAGGCTGATGTCAATGCTCCATCAACAAGTAGCATATCCCCCACCATATGGGTGCCTCCCAGGCAGCGATCTATCTATGTGCTTGGAGATGAGACTCCAAACCAAAGATGGTGACAGGTCTGTTCCAGCCTGAAGTTCTTCAGGAAGGGTCGTTCTAAAGCCTGAAACGGGATACCATTCAATCCACCCCAACTATGGATTGGAGCGGCTATCATCAAGGAGGCTGACCGGGCTGCTATCTTAACCCATGGTATGAGTCTCGGTGGGACAGGGAGCATTATGGGTAAGGAGGCCTCTCGCCGGGTGCATAGGGAGTTTGAGCTATACGCTCTGCCGAATAGGAACAAAAGCAAGCATAAGCAGCTCGTTGATCAGCTCGAAGCGTTGTCTACATCCCACCTGAATATCGGGCTGATGTTCTTTAATGTAGATTTCTGGCTGAGAGGGGTGCTCAAAGGTTGGATGACGCAGACTAGCCTGGTTGATCGATGATGATCTACTCTCCGTATGTTCATCATCTATGCTACTATCATCTCAATTAGTTGTATTGCGCACATTATTCCTGCTATCATGTCGTACTACTATTGACACGTTTCTGCAGTCCTCTTTCCTCTAGAGTTATGTATTCGGAAAGATAGGTTGTTGCTCCCGGTATTGCACTGGCCCCCGTTAGACTGCGTCCTCAACGTACGCTGTTGATGAGCTGTTCGCGATTCAAGCTTGTACTCTTTCATCGACCGTATTAGTCAGTATGTCATTTTCGGAGAGCAAGCCTGTAATACTCCACTTCAAGCTAGCTGGCGGGAAGCCTTTTACCCTCGACAATATCGACTCAGAAATTACTGTAAGTTGGCATAGTCATTGTGCTCTTATATTCAATACTCCTCTCGTTTCCACTTTTACAGCACCAGTCACTAATGCTGTTAACGAGCAGCGTGATCAATTTGAGCTTTGATTATTCATTTACTGAATATCGTGAGGGCATGTACATCACTCCTCAGATAGCTGAATTGAAGCGTCTAGCTTCTCGGTCTGAACATTGCTCCATCCCAGCGGTTCAGATGAAGATATTTTACAAAGGTGGGAGGTCGGTCTCTTCTTAGCTATAGTGTACATCTGACGCGATAGACGAGGTGTATTGAGTTACTCAGGTAAGCATTTACAAGACGAGGATACCTTATCAACCAGGAAAATTGTGACTGAGAGCACGTTGCTGCTGATCAAGGGCCCTAAGCCGGCCAATAGCAACGATGTCAGCATGGAGGTACCTCAAGAGGTAATACTTGACGTGATCTGTACATTACATGCTGCTATCTTGTCTTTTCAGGCATCTACATCATCAACAACAGCGGCATCATCGAATGCTGCTCCTGTACCATGCAAAGGCGGGTGTGGCTTCTTTGGTAACCCTGGCACCAATAATTACTGCTCTAAATGCTGGAAAGATCTTAAAGAGAAGGAGGAGAAAGAGAAGGAAGATGCGGTAGGAGTTGATACCTGACTATAACGGCTTGCACACCTTATGCACAACCCGTTCATGTGGTTTGGGGTGATTTCGTATGGGACTACTTTCTAGGAGGAGAAGGCCCGTCTAGAGGCCGAGAAAGTTGATGATTTGGTAGAGGCGAGTGATGACCGGCCAGTGCAGAGTGATGTTAATCGGTAGGGGCATCTATATTATACTTATGACAAATCATACGATCGACCAGTACGGATCGTTCTGATCAGCATCGTGCAGTTCGTGAAATAGATTGTCTTATCAG